CCTTTTTCAACAACAGACACACCTGTGCTCATCTTTATTATAATCCATTGCTTAAGGTCACCCGAGGCATGACATGAACTGGTTAATCTTGTTAGTCAAGACTTTCTCAATTCTACCAAGACCCGAGGTTGGATCTTGACTACAAATGAGCACATCATTGTCCCCAGTTAGTTTGGCAACTTACCTTAATGCCAACAGACCCATTTACACCTTCTACTATTTCATTTGGATAGTGTTTTATTTCTCTCTGCACCATCGGATCTTTGAACTTCCTGCCAATAAGGCGTTTGAATTCTGATACTGTGTTCTTCACATTTGTTGCTTCCTGATTCTTGGCACCTACTCCTAGAAATCTCTGTTTCTCGCCAAGGGCAACGACAGATCTGAAATTTTGAATAATATAGTTGGTTATCATCAGAAATTCACTTATTTTTAATAATGAGACAATGTATTTCAATTTAGTTATTTTTGCAGCTCTGTGATGAAACGGCCAAGATGCTAAGCCTGGTATCAGACATGAGCTTAGGTTTAAAAAAAAGCCTCTAAACATTTATCAACACCTAACCTTGATGAATCTCAGGAACCATCATCTCTGGAATCAAGTTTAAAAATGCAGAATTCCGCTTTTCCCTGGAAAAAGCCCATGTCTGAGGTATGATATTCATCAAATGCTTGCAGCACAGTTCTAATCACAGAGAACATATCTGCACCCCCTAACCCTCTGAAAGAATGCAACACTACAGTGCATGTGTACCATAATTACAAATGGCCAACATCCAGGTCAAAACGGTCAAAATACTGCAACTTTAATATCCTTAAATTGTAAGCTCTGAAAACTGATGCACACTTCTGGTTAAGTTAGTAAGTAATTGCTCTGCAAGAAACTGTCTTACACCCCATTTCCATAGATTAGATCGACCTACTTTAGATCGACCTAACTCCCTGGGGGTTCACGCTAAATAGCTGTCAGCCGGGCGGACACGAAAGTTAATTACCCCCTTACAGCTTGTAGTAGGCGGGACGGACATTTAAGTCGGATTATCTGAAAGTAATCTAGTGAGACTCCCCGCGGGGATAGATCGATCTAAAATCTATGGGAATAGAGCCTTACAATGTAGGAGGTCAAGTAGTCTAAAAGTGGATCATAAAGATACCCGATCCACAAACTAAAGTGGGCAAGGTGCAGAAAATACACCATATTCCATACAATACTATTTTATCTCCAAGAATTTAAACTAATATCCTATAGTATAGTTCATAACCTTGGCATGGTTCACTTCTCAAGCTATGAACTCATTTACAAACTATGTGTGTGTGCGTGTTGTATGTTCCTCCTCCTAGGAACATGTAGTAATCTGGAAGCCACACCTGTCTTCACCTCCACAGCACACCTACATGATGTCTGGAGAGCTATCAACTAGTTTTATGACCAGCAGTAGATCCTATTTACCCTGGATTCTAGAATCTTTTTTATCTACCACTGCTGCAAGTATGCAGTATCCATGCTTTATTTGACAGGCTGTAAATGTTGTTTTTGTGTGAAAGTGACATTTTATCGTTTCAGACAAACATCCCCTTTTATCAACATCCTAGATGGTCCTAAAAGAGCAACTCAAAATGTTGGATTATCATTTCATCATTTTCTTCATTCTTTGCCCTTATAATATACTACGCTTATGAATAGTTTAGAATTACAGTCTACGTTTTCAAAACATCTCTACACACACACACACACACACACACACACACACACACACAGTAACCCACTGATGACATATTACCAGAAATGAACGGATTTGACACTGGCTGTCGCTATTTGCATACGATAAATGGATATTCCAGGTTTAACCACCTTTTCAGCAGAACTTCTATAATGATGAATGCATGTCACAGTCGACAGGCAGACAATGTAAAATCCTTGCACACATTTGCTGTTAATAGATTTTTAGTGCATTCTAAGTACACTCCCTTATGACATTAGCTATGGAAGATGGCAAAAACTCTGACATAACAAAAGAAAATAAAATATAACTAAAATCAAACAAAATCCAACAGAAAACAATAATTTCAACATTTTCTACATTCTGGCAATGGCTCAACCAAGAGCATGCTTTCTGCTGGGTTTTACATTATACTGATATATATAGAAAACTAGGAAATTTACCTTTAGAAAGCATGCTCAAGGATATATTACCTAATAATTAACCTTCCTCAAGCAAGGACCTGAACAGACCAGCATATAGTTTTGGCATAACACAAAAGGCATCAACATTCTTGTTAACCAACTAAGAAATATCCTGTATGTATGCATAAAGTTGTTCAAATAACTTCCTCTATCACTTTGTTTTAACATGCAATCTTTGAATATTAATTTTGCACACTGACAAGTATTATCTTGAAGAAAGGGAATCCATTCAATAAGCAGTTATTTGAAAACTTAAACATGCCTTTCAGATCTAAAATGGACAAAAAAATTTGAAGACATTAAATTAAAATGCTTGTATATGACCCTTAAACAATGTAGCTCCATTTTTCACCGAGTACTGCTCTTCTTGCTTATTACCTTGATACTGTACCAGGCTTTATAAACGGATTACGCATTGGCTTACTCGTGGCTTTTGTGGTTAATATGGGTGTTAGTGCTATAAGATCTGCAGGTAGTGTTGGTAAACGCCTAATCTGTTTATAAGACCAACGTACACTACCTGTTCATGCACCTGTTTTCGTGTGTTTAGAATATCACTCCTTGGTATATCATAAAGCGGTTATTCACCACCAGAATAAAAGAACAGTTTCGAGTACAAATAATGACCTGGTACCAAATCTATACACGTGTCCTGCCAAGACAGATGCATGTGTATGTGAGAGAAACATTTGAAAACCATTCTTATGTCATCTCTGTTTTTTTTTTTTTTTTAATTTTACTATAGTAAGTGACTTGGATATTTTAGATTCCTTTAAATCTATTTTATGTAAGTATAGAAATAAAACTTTGCTGAACAAATCAACATGCTGCTTTTCAGTCTTGATAATCACCAGATGTAGTTACTTTGGCATATATGCCCATTTTGGCATGACAAAAGAATCACTTTCAAGGAGATACAATAGGTGTGTAATCTGTTAAATGGTCACTTGACAGGAAATGAACAAGCTCATACTAGTATGCATTTCTACATTATTGAAATACTGCCAAATATTTTTCTATTATAACAACACTGTGTAATCACCCAGCAAAGTGAGATATGCCGTAGGCTACAATGAGGGGGTGTAGCCATCACACCTTATCAGTTCTCAACACATTCATATTTCACCCGAGATTTCACAGTGGATTTCTTGTAACTAAAACATTCCACCATATTATACCAATATGAGGATAATTTGTCGTTTTAATCTTAAAAGATCAATATTACAGGATCAAGGTTAGACCCTCATTTTCCACACACTATATGCAGCCTGAAACTGAAAATGAAATACTTTCTAAACTAAAAATAGGCACACCACTCAGAAAATTGGGATATTGCCTCTCTGGTAGCGCCTCAACACTAAGTTTGAAATCGATTTGGTAAATCTATTGAACAAAGGGCAGGGCAGTCTGACAGAACGATATCATAAGTGAATACTTACGGTGTTCGCCTTTCACTGTAGTCATTAGCTATTGTTTCAATTCCACCTTGCCTTGCCACAGCAACATAACACGAGGATGTCCCAAAATCAAAGCCGACACAGGCCATTTTGTGACGAATAAAATGTTCCTTTGACACGCCAGTTAAACAGAAGCCTTTTGAATTTTCTTCCAACACAACCACCAGTTAAATTATCGGCTAAAGTGACTCTTTACACTAAAATTCTATGAATGAACTTTCAGGAATTTTCTGGATTACTGACACAATTTTGTCATGCCGGCTACGTTCGGGTATTTCCGTGATCTGTTCCGGAATTATCCGAATTACGTGTTGTTATTTGATTTTTCATTGGTCAGAAAATTGTAATGTTCTTCAGATTAATACGACAGTTTTTTCCCTTAATATCATTCACCCGTCTAGAACTTGCAAAGGCATATGGTCATGACTTTGATTCATAGTTCCAGATCACAAATAGAGGGAGAATTAGATTATGAAAGGAACATTCGATAACACATCAAGCTGCCACACAGTGCTTTCAACCAATAAGACAGCAGCTAACAAGACACTTATACTACGCTGACTCGTTATGAAAGCGAGGCATACGTCTTGTTTTTGAACATGGCGACTAGCTGAGTTACATTTATTTATGATTACATTTGTACTGCATAAAGTTATGATTTTTATTTGATACGTTGGAAATATGGGAGAAAGTATAGAGGTAGGTATTTATAATCTTTAAATCTACCGAACCAAATCTGATCCTTTCAAACACGAGCGTCTTGATTGAATTTTATCAAGAACTTCAAACTTGGGAATGTTTATCAAATGAGATTTTATCAATCCCAATATTTCCAGTTTTGAAGTCTTAGATTTCTGTTACTTAAATTAAAGTGTTTGTAAAAATGAAATATTCTTGATTAAAAAGATAAAGTGAACGAGAAAAATACTGTGTTGCAAACGCCTGCTGTTTATCGTTTATGTCATTTGCCTTCACTACAACTAGTGCTACTAGCACGAAATATGGGATGAATTATCTAAGGTTTGTGATAGGTACGATGTGCTAACACACGAAAGCAAAGGTTTTTAAGTAGGATGAAATGATGTCCAGATGATGCGGGAGCACTGAATTTTTTATCAACCCCTCTACCTCAACTCGCCCACTTCTTTGAAGCCAAATAGGTTCTGCATATAAAATAATTTACATTTCATCCAGGATTACCAAGTGCTCAACCTCCTGGGCAAGGGGGCTTTTGCTTGTGTGTACAGAGCTAGAGCACTCACCACAGGACAGGAGGTGGCTATCAAAATGGTGAGCTCCATAACATTAAAAACAAAGTTTGAGTGATATATCATAGCTTTTGAAAAGGTTTTTGAAAAGGCTTACATTAAAAAAGGATCCTTGCTGTTTTAAACTAACTTATTTTATTAAATAAATGTGTTTTTATTCCATTTTCATGATCAAAGTTGTACAAATTGTGCCATGTAAGACAAGGGTCACATCCAGTGACAGCACATTTGAAACTTCTATATAAATGTTTGACTTAATTCTGATCTTATATTTTTTATTTTTTTAAATTTATTTATTTATTTATTTATTATAATTTTATTTATTTGCCAGTGCAACTTATCTCTAAAGGTTAGAGTGAATTTTGAATTTCTTTTCTTAGATTGACAAGAAACTAATGCAGGCTGCAGGGATGGTGGCACGGGTGAGGAAGGAGGTTGAGATCCACTCCAGATTAAAACACCCAGCCATACTGGAGGTAATGACTAGTGCAGAGGTTAAATTAAGTAAAAAGGATAAGAGAACTTTACGAAAAAGATATCTAAAATTTGGGTGGATTGTTATGATACCTGTAATTTTTATTTTACTTTAAATTGAATGGTTATATAATAGGAAAAAGGACAAAAGCAAATTGTCACTTTAAAAATGAAACATTTTCAAATTTAAAAGTTGTTGCTTTACATGTAGGTTTGGTCATTTGTTTATGAATGTTCAAAATAAACACTACACCAAGAAGTTAAAATGTAAAGATATGCTTATTGCTTTAAAGAATTAACTGTATTTCAGCTGTACAATTATTTTGAAGACAGCAACTATGTGTATCTTGTTCTGGAGATGTGTCATAATGGGGAGCTGTACAGGTACCTCAAAACTAACTGCAAGGTACTTTCTGAACAGGAGGGTAGGTGTTCCCTTTGATCTTATTTGATGTTCTGCAGCTTCCTACACATGTTGGATCATTTTACTTTCTAACAGTACTAAAATTATTAAGTACAACACAAAATTTTAGGAAATGTTGATACTTATAGACAGTGCCCCACTTGTAAAAAATACAAATGAATTGTGCATACAATAATCAGATTCTTGAGTTCAAAAAAAGTAAATTAATTTTGGAATTTTAAAGTTACTGCCCTTTGATCAGTGTACAATTAAAATCAGAACACAAAAAATTGTTTCCTGACAAAAAGTCAACACAGTTACCATGTTGCAAGTTCATTGTATATCAGCTTACATTACATATGTTGATTGCAATCATCTGTCCCATTCCAGCTCGTGTGTTCCTGCGTCAGATAGTCCAGGGTATGTTATATCTTCACTCTCATGGTATTCTCCACAGAGATCTGACCCTGGCCAACCTACTGCTGACCAAGGACATGGACGTGGTATGTACTGCTGTGGTCAACTTTTATTAACTTACATGAAGAAGTTGATGGATATAGTCATTTGATATTTACAGAACACAGTGAGAAATAAACGCACAGTGTATACATATTTATATATTATTTTACCCTAAGTTATTGAATCAGTTCAGATATTATCTTAACCTGAGTTGTTGCATCAGTTCAAATATTATCTTAACCTTAGTTGTTGCATCAGTTCAATTTTTTTCCTGGATGATTTAGGAAACTTGAAACTTGAAATCAGTATTGGAAATAAAGCAGGAAAGTTTATCAATTCACTGTATTCAGAATGAAGTGAACTAATGATTGTTATTGGGCTGAAGGACTCATATACAGTAAAATAAACTATTATCATTGTTATTAAACCATATATCTTTTTCAGAAAATAGCTGACTTTGGTCTGGCTACCCAGCTGAGTGTGCCTGATGAGAAGCACTTCACTATGTGTGGAACACCGAACTATATCTCACCGTAAGGATGGCAGTGTTATTTGATATCCAGAATGATAATTACTTACCAAAATATCTATTTTAGTATAAAGTATTGTTCTTTGATGAGTCATAAAGAAATGAGAAATGATATCAGCTGATTGACTAAGGAAAATAATATACTAAACATGGCAGTTTTGATTTCTTTTATGACAATAAGTTTGTATGTTGGTTAATTTTGTGCACAGAAAAAATATTTTTTTCTTTTTTTTTTCTTTTTCACCTTTTTTCATACAAAGCACAGTCTAATAACAATGGTCATAGTTCACAGTATTCAGAAACAATTATAATATGATATATTCAGCGAGATAGCTATGCGTGGAGCCCATGGGCTGGAAGCAGATGTGTGGTCCCTGGGCTGTATGTTGTACACCTTCCTGGTGGGCAAGCCTCCTTTTGATACCCAGGCTGTGCGCACTACACTGAACAGGGTGATATCAGCCGAGTTTGACATGCCCGACCACTTGTCATTGGAGGCGAAGGATCTTATCAAATCACTGCTGAAGAAAAACCCCAAGGAGAGGATTGGTCTTCATGGTGAGAGGAAATCTTCTGTGCCTTTATTCAGGGCACACACTCTTCTACATATTTTGTTTGCAAGCTCAATGCAGTTTTTAAAGTAGACTAGGTAACTGTTTGTCTGAATTTCCAACAAAAGGTAAAAGAAAAAATTAATTGTAAATTTCAGAAATTAATACTTTGGTGATTGTCTTTTCTTTCTTTTCCCCTCTGTAGATATTTTGGAGCACCCCTTTCTTACCAACACATCACTGAGGGAGTATAAATCTCGAGGGCATCATAACATGGTAAGAGGACTTTTAGAAAGTTTTTAGAAAGTACTGCTAATTTGTGAAATTACTGGAAATTTATACTTTGGAAATGAGAAATGAAACAAAGCCACACACAAGCAAGTCACACTGTGTATTAATTGCTTAAATGATTAGAGTTAAACATTCCCAGTTATCTTTTAGCCATTGGATAAAGCCATGCTAATGAATTAAGTGAAAAATATTACATATGTACCCAAAAATGCACCATAATTGTGCATTAAAAGATGAACAGAGAAACTGTGGTACTCTACAAGGGACCTAGCTGTTTACTTCTTATCCCCATTTGGCCTCATCTTCCAGCTGACCAATGAGGCCTCAATGGACAGTGGTCACGACACAATGAACACCATGTCCACCAACACCAGTAACACTCGCTACACCTCCGCCTCACGTCTGCGCCCCACCAGGGCCTACCCCACCCCCAGCCTGGGCCCTCTCACCTCCACTGCTGAGGAAGAGGAGGGAGGGAGTGCCCAGGACTCGGGGTGGTCATGGAGAGGAAATAATGGGGTGACTGGGCACTACCCCACACACCCACCCTCCCCACCTGTGAGACTAAGAAGCAGGTGAGTTTGACTGCTGTCAGTGGTAATAGTTAACAGAATCTTCAGCAAGGACAAAAACAGAAGTAAAAATTTTGTAATCTGACATGAGCAACCTGACATACAACTTGTCTGTTTTGTTAATTTTGGTACATTTACTGATTATTTCTGTTTCCTGAAAATGATTTAATTTAAAAAAAACATTGGCTAATTGAATATTATAAAATGGCATAAATTCTAGTGAAGCTTAGCATGCAGTGACCATGCAGTTTGTGTGATTTAAAAATTATCGAATCGTTTCAGTCCAAATGAAAGGGTGCAGAAGATCCCAGAGAAAACTATGAGCACCTCAGCAGAGACCAGGTATCCCAGCAGCTCCCACAACTCCGCCATGTTGTCCACCATCTCAAACCCCACTTTCTCCAGTCATCAAGCTGTTAATTTGAACTCAAATAAAGGCACAGATTTCCAGACTAAACTGTCTCATTACCTCAGGGGTGCTGAAAACCAAGAACACAAATTCAGCCAGCAACAATCTGCAAGGGGGTTTAATGATGGAGAAGATGGTTCTGGTTACCACGGTGCTAAGCTCCGTAGTTACCATGGTGATAATAACTATAATAACAACCCATCTCAACATGGTCGTCGAGTTGATGAAAACCCAGACCCTGAACCTCCAAGTTTCCCTGAGAGGAAGCAGGACTTAGAGAGACCAGGCTTCATGGAAGTAGAACGCAGTGGCCACAGCTCCATGACTCGGCAGCAGTTGACAGGGAAGCCACCCACGGCAAGTCACCACTGCAACTACCACCATCATCACAGAGCAAATAGTAAGGCAGGAGAAGAAGAATTAAGGGTCTTCCCATCAGAAAGGGGGAAATCTATGAACAGTGTTTGTCATGTAAACAGGTTGGAATCTCAAGATGAACTTCAAGACCAGGACTTGGGGAAAGGACAGAACAGAAGTCGCTATGAAGGAACAACCACAGGAAACTGGTTGAAACAAGACAAAGATGTAGATATGAAATCAGTTAGCAGTGGTCAGCAGGCTATTGATGGAGTGGACAATGCCCAGGCCAGGGGTAAGAATGACCTGGTCACTACAGGAACAGAGGTGGTCAGTAAAGATGGCCGGAGACTGAGGGACCTGGCCTCTCCTCTGAACTCTCTCAGACTGAGACCTATCAGGCAGAAGACCAGGAATGCTGTGGTAAGCTGGCCTGGAGTTGACGTGCTAGATAAGAATACAATATAATGATATTTATGCCATCTTGTTGTTTGTACTGAAATAATATCATATTCATTGACAATTTAAGTGCAACTTCTGGTCAGTAAAATTACATTTAACCTCCTATCCTCAAGCAAAATTAGTAAAGTATACATTTTAAATTTCATATATTTTTTAAGAAAATTGCTTTTTCATCATGTTATTTAGCTCTTTGATCACATAATTCTTTGGTGATCTTTATAATTTTTTTTATCTGACATAAAAAAATTATTTGGATAAAGAGAAAAACTTACAAATAATGTCATATTTTGACTGTAGATGAATATTCTGGAAGATGGGGAAGTGTGTCTGGAGTTCTTCAAGAGCAAAGACAACCAAGACAGAGTTGTGGAGGTCTGTAAGATATCTGCAGATGGGAGAAAGGTGAGCAGATAACAAAATGAACTGTTGATGAATGGTAGGATCCTTCAGGGGAGATGATGTGTTGGTGGAACTCTTTATCTATTTCTTTCTGTCTTGGCCATGTGAAGTTGAAATGGCTCACTGACCGTTTTTACACACAATGAAAAAGATGTGTTGAGTTTGTTTAACTGCTTTCACTGTAAACATATTTTTCATAGGGTTTTTTTTTCCTCATTGTGAAGTCAGTATTTAAGATAAATATTTATGTTAAGATTTAAAACAGGAATTAAGTGGAATTATTCTCTTTGATTAAAATCAAATATGTGCATATACATATACATACCTATGTATTTGTAAGTTTGTTGTATATATTTGTTAGATCATAGTGTACCAGCCCAAGATTCCTCACCAGCCTGTCCAGGACCGTCCCCCCACCCCGCCAGGTGACACTGCCTGTATCTACACCTACCATGACCTCCCCAGCAAATACTGGAAGAAATACCAGTATGCTGCCAGGTAGGGGGAGCAAAATGGCCATTTCAGCTCTGTGAATTGCTTCCTGGGTGGGAATTTAGAAGTATAGAATGTAGGATTGAGGATCTTTAGTGAAATGTTTGGAAATTTAAGTTTTTTCTTGGGATGCTAGAACTTTTTCTTTTTAACAGGCCAAAGTACTTTTATGTGTACTAGAAAGTTGTGTTGGATTTTTAGTGAAATAATTGGAAACCATGAGAATTCCAGAGCTTTTTCTTTTTAACAGGCCAAAGCACTTCCTTGTGTACATATACACTCTTTTTGTTTGATTATTAATTGCTTTTATATCAATAGGTACAGTTAGAAGAAAGTACCATATATAAGTCAGAAGAAAATACCATTGACACCATATAGAGCATATGATCATGTTACCTAAATTGTCATAGTAATTAATCTTGTCTATCTCCAATTTTAATGTTTATTTTCCTTCTACTAGATACAATAGATATAAACATTGGTTAACATATAAATTTATCATTTTTTCAGGTTTGTCAAATTGGTGCGCTCTAAAACCCCCAAGGTGACTATGTATACCACCAAAGCCAAGTGTATGCTGATGGAGAACTCCCCCAGTGCTGACTTTGAGGTGGTGTTTGCTGATGGTGAGTAGGAAGATCATATTGTATAAGAAATGTTCTAGTTTTGTTATGTGAAATAAGTACAGATAAATTATAGGCAAGACATCAAAATGTTTTTCAACAATGTGAAATAGAATGTGGGAAAGTATTGAAAAAAATTATTATGTGAGGCAAGTGTTTATTTTTAAGTTGTTCCATCTCTGTTCCTGACTAGCTTTTAAATTGTGAATGAAAAAGGATGAAGGATTCTTCCTTGTGGCATCAGGTTCGCTGCAGGAGATACCGCCCTGGTGGCATAGGTGAAATAAATTTCAAACAGAACTATATTTTGTTTCCAAGGTGCCAAAGTAAACTGCAATCCCCAGGGTGCCAGGATTATCGAGCAGGATGGCACTACCATCACCCTAGGGACGGAGTCTGGAGTCCACCACCTCTCTGCTGACGCCCAGAAACTGTGGGAGAATGTTAAACAGGTAAAGTACCCAGCTGGAGATCCAGACCCATAGCCAGGGGGGTTTGGGGGTGTGAAAGAACCCCCCTTTTTGATGGAAAAAGGTCCCCTCTGAGTAAAATTTTATCTAGGTACATGGAAGTTTCATAGAAAAAGGTCCACTTTTTCAGAAAAAGAACCCCCTTCTCAAATTGCTGGTTATGGGCCTGAGAACGTTGTTTAGTAGTGAGAATTACCACTAGCATTATAATAACAATAACTAAGTTGAAACTGTATATAGTGTGGTTCCACTAGAAGTTAATTCTCGATTTTAAAAAGAATGAATGATTTCTAAAAAATATTTTGAATTTGTTTCAATTATGCAGAAAAGGCAAATGGACTTGGATAATATGAGTTGTTCTTTAGATATGAACATACTAAAACTATATGCCTGAATGATATATTAATATGCAAAACTGTTTTTGCTCATAATTACAATATAATGCCATTTATTTCTCATACAGCAGAAATGTCATGCTGGCAGTTGCCAAAACTAACTAATTGTTATTAAATATCTGTTTCAGCTGCATCAGCACTGTTTGGACCTGGAGGCTGCTTTGTCCATCGCTGAACAAAAGGCAGGGATAGGCCACTACTTCCCAGTCATTGTTGGCAGGTAATATGCATTGCTTAAAATAAAGATTAAGTAATAAACATTCGAACAATTATGTTATTCTAGTGTACTGCTTCTTTGCTGATACTACCAGATCTTCAGATATTTGGTACTTTGACAGAGGAATGCAAGTTTTCTGCAGATGACTCGATTAAAATTAGCAAATCAGTGGGTGTACATTATAGGCATTAACAATGAAGGTATAATGTGCATTGTGTACTCAAGTTGAATTTCCCATAGTTCAAGGAATTGATGGAATAGACATGCATCAGAAAAAAACTAAAAAAAGTTGCTTTGACTGTATTCATTCAGGCGGCCCACAATGCCCTGTGCAACAGGCAGTAGTTCTGATGGGAAGCAAGCGCCATCTGGTGAGAAGAAGAACAACAGGGGTTTCCTGCAGCAGACTGAGGGCTCCCCAGTGGCAGTACCAGCACCAACTGTAAGTTTTAATCCTGATATTTTAAAAGATTCAGAATGTTTTGCATCTTGTGTCTGATTTTGCTAATCAATTAAACCCTTTGGTTGCCTTAATTTGTTAAACTTTATGATGAATTGTCTTGTTGTTTGTATTTAAATTTCAATAGGTACAGAACTAACATGTTATAATTAACGTCTCTGAACATTATTTACAGTCAAATGTCTAATTTTGTTGCTTGATTGATAAGATCAGGGACTGCTGTCATTTGAATTTGACTTGAAAGTTTAATACAAGTACAGAACATTGATGTTTTTATAAAACTTCCACCAAGCCTCTAATTTATCATGTATTTTAAATAATGTATCAGATGCTGTCATTTGATGGGACGGTGATGAGCAGTCATGTGACCAGAGTTCAGGAACCACGGGCGACCAAAGACGTTCATAACACACTCGCTGGAGCAAAGGGACAACTGTTCATATCTCAGAACTCAGATAACAAGAGACAGGCTCATGGTGCAGAACGAGACCTAGGTGTGCAAAAAAACCAGGAACATCCTATTGACAGTCAGGCTAGAGTAGCACTACATGATAGAGGCAGGAAAAATAAAAGTTTACATGAGAAAGAATCTCAGAAAAGAACACAGTCAATAGAGGAAGAGGTCTACAGCAAAACTCCGTGTAACTTATCACAGAAGGAAAACATGGAGCATCACGATAATACTGGAAGAGTAGGACCTAGACGTGGTGGTGAACATACTGGAAGGACTACAAGGTCACACCAGAGGGGTTTGCATGTGAAAAATGGTAATAGCAGTGACAGAATACAAGACTGGGAGAAGGAAAAATTGAAAAATACAGGCCAAAGCACATCTATGCACAAGAGGTCAGTTTTAGACGGTAATATTGTTTCAGATGAAAGACCTCCACATTCAGGAAGAGATCTCCCAGGGGAAGGCAGGAGCCGCAGACACAACACGCCAACAGCTGGAAGTACTGCAGAGCCTTACCCTAGTGAACCAGCACGGAGTAGCAGTGCTAAACGTCACCACTCCAATCAATCCTCTCCCGCCAGTCACGCTAGAGATCGGCAGAAGTCTCAGAAACGGGTGACACAATCACCTGAGGTGACGTCACCATCAGCGAGAGTGTTAAAAAGGATGTTTGTGCCAGATGTGGGTTGGGCATCACAGGTGAGACTGAAACACTCTTATTTATGGATTCTGTAACATAAGAAAAGATCATTAAATGATTTTATAAGATTAATAAATTTATCGTCTTCACATAGCACAATAATTTTTTTTTTTAAACAGTAGAGTTTATGTCCATTTGCAATAGAAGCCCTCCAGTTTAGAATGTTGGTTGTGCTTCTTTCCAGCACTGTGATGGCTCAGTGTGGGTGCAGTTCAATGATGGGACACAGGTATGTGTCAGCTCTTCACAGACTGCCATCAAATATGTGGATCAGGCTGGAAAAGTGGCAAGGTAAGCAAGTGCTTGGATGGAGTGGTGGTGGTGGTGGTGGCAGTGAGGGGGTGGGGAGGGGAGGGCTGATGCAGACAGAGCAGGAAGGGAGAGGTGTGTGGCAAATGAAAAGGGGAAATTTAAATTTTTAAGCATGAAAAGAGATAGGTGTATTGTTTAGTGTAAAGTTTAACATTTCTTTGTTTCTAAGATGTTTAAAGAAGCTTATAGAAGAAAAATAAACGTGTGTTAGGTCTACTGGTTATGCTGCCACCTTGAATAGATAATTAGGCTCTGTGTAACTTCCATATTTTAGGTATGGAGAGACGGATCATCTTCCAAGTCACGTTATGAAGAAATTGGAAAAGCTTCCTGCAGTGGTTGAAAAGTTGGCAGCAACAGGGGACTCGTAGTTTAACAGACTATTAAATTCATTCATTATCTTAGACAATTATTTTAATAGATGTCTTAACTTATTCATGGCAGTTGTTTTGATGAAGGAATAGTGAAGCCTGCTTCATCTGAAGAATATGCAAAGTAATACAGAAAATTTATAAAGAAACCCTTTTAACATGTTGTCTGTTGATAAAAAGAAAACTGTGTGATACTTTTATTTTTTTGAGAAATATATTTTGCGAGATATACGAGTCATTACTTATTTCTATGTATATTTTTGTACATATCAGGATTATTGGTTGTAAAGCAATGCAGTTTTTATACCCATCTTAGTTATTTTGGTCTTTCTGCAGTGGATATATAGATATTTGGATATATATGTTTCAATCATCAACCAAACAGTTGAAAACGTGATTAGGGAGATATATTTATAAATATTTATTCTACAAAAGTAAGAATATAACAAGTACATTGTATACAAATTTGGTCAAAAGAAATACCAAATAATCGCCCATACAAATTACAGGTGTTTGTAAACTTGACTTAAAGGGTCCCAAAACAATAATTACAAACAGAAAAAATTGAAGTCATAACAGGTGACAGAATCTAAAGTTAAAGGTTTGTCCTTAAACATTTATCAGTAACAGTCCCACCTTGAACATTAAAACTAAAACTATCTATTCCATATTACTAGTAAATATCTTTTGAGACACATGAAAATCTTTCATAAGAATTGCTATAAAATATAACTCATTTAAAATACTGTATCACAGAATTAATTGGTAATGTTTTTCAAAGCTTCACAAAAGAGAACTACACATTTTCATGAAAAGATAAATGCGTAATGGTTTTCTTACAAAATGCAAGTTTAATAACTTTTAATGACTCCCCTCTCTGTGGCACCTAGGTTGATCTCACTGAGGAATTAGATATAACACCCCATTTCCATAGATTTTTAGATCGATCTATCCCTGTGGGGAGTCTCACTAGATTACTGTCAGTTTGGCCGGCTTAAGTGTCTGTCCCGCCTACTAAAAGCTGTAAGGGGGTAATTAACTATGGTGCCCGCTCAGCTGACTGCAATTTAGCGTGAACCCCCAGGGAGTTAGGTCGATCTAAATCTTAATCTCTGGATCGATCTTAATCTCTGGGAAAGCACCCTAAGGCTGCTGCATTTATTGCTGTACAGTTGTGGACAATTATTTTCTTAACAAAGCATTCAAAATCCTTAAATAATTTTAAGTAATTTTTACTAAAGAGAGAGAAATTTTACCTCTAGAATATCTTAGAGATAAGGAGGCCCTACATACCTTTACCGTGGGCTATAGGGCCTTTTGTGTAGCACATAATATTATATGGTCTCAAATGGACGCTAAAAACAGATAACAATACAGCATCTAAACAATGTCCATACAATATAAAAACCTGAAATGTACCAACATTTCACTAAAAAAGACTATAATTGTATTCCTTTTTAAAATCTATAATTATCATAATTTATTGTTATATATAGACCTGCTATCCTTTGTATAAAATTATACATATTTCTGGTGTTTGAAGCATGCATCTTTAAAACCAATTATGCACCAGAATTCATCACTTATCATTCTTTCTTTATATAAAATGTACCCTCAGTACTGCTATAGCTTTACAAAAATATCCAATTTCTTGCTTTTTTTTTCATTTAATACACGTTACATGGATTTGCAATTAAAACAAAACGAAGATTCTGCAAATCTGTGAGATTGTCAAATGAACCCTAAGTAAAATGCCAACCCTGAATAAAATATTATTGAATCCTTTATTTTAATAATATGTATATATGTTGAGTTCTTGAAGTTACCAAACAAATCAGAGATCCTAGTATATTCTTTTGCAATAACATTTGATAACAAGTTTATTCTCAGAGATATCACAGATGACATGAGACGATTTTCATGCATGACTCTCCCAAGGAATTTGGTAAATGCCAGCAGGAGTAGCCACCTTCACCTCATCAATGGCGGGCAGTTGTTTCAGGACGGTCTTGTTCTCCAGGGGAGGTCCAGGTCTGGAGTTGGGAAACTTCTGCTCCATACTCAGGTAAGTCATCCCTTGCTTGTCATAGCTGATGTTGCTGGAATGATAATATGCTGCATGTTTCCAAGACATCCCAACCTTATATCATTATTATTATAATATTTATTCAATATTTTATTTTGTGTATTAAGTTTCACTTTTTCAGGGGTTAAAGTTCAGATACGGATGGAATCAAGAAATATTTTCAGAAAAACGAGAGAATTACATGTCTTCACAACTTAATCAATTATGCACCACATAATTTAAAATGAAAACACAGATTCACTAGTTTGCAGAATGCAACTACTACTGAGTGAAATTAGTATCTTGACTGTCTTAAATCTTTAACTGGCATATTTAACTCAATTTGGTACTCAATCAACAACAAAGCAAAGCAGAGTGTTAATTAGTACAATCTGAAAAAGAACAAGTGAATTTATTTTGTAGATCACACACAAGTCAGTGCTGTCTTCAACACAACTGGTGTTTGTGAATGACAACAAAAAAGTGTTTCTCAGTAAAAAAAAAAAAAAGGTGCATCACACCAAATGCCACCTTGATAGTGTACAGTGCAAACTTGCTTGGTGTTGTCTCAACATTGTGGTGTCTAAAGGTACCTAGCTTAATAAAACAATGAACCAATTATGTCAGAAAGTGCCACTGATGAAAATTTCAACACTGCGAAAAGAAAAAAGCGATGCAACTTTCCCTTCCTTGCCTCCTGCATTGTTCTGTGTTAGTATGAAGCATGCAATGATAGGCAACTTAACAAAAACTGACTAACCTGATAGGCTTTAGTTTCTTATATATTTTGCGTCTGTAAACAATAACAGGATTTACTCAGAATATTTCACCAATTATCAATTAACCTGTTTATTGTTAAAACCTATTAAACTCAATAACTGAAAAAAATCTTTAAACAATTATGTTATAGTATATTCAAATGAATATGAATGGAAAACTTGCACAAAAAATGTATTTCGAAAAATATCTTGCAGCACATGAAAATGGATGACATTCGAAACAGTAACAAATCAAAATAAAAGCACTTAAAGCAAATCAAAATAAGATATTGACTTCATGAAAATTGATAATTATGAAGATATATTCAGCTGCAAGCTGAAAATGTTAGTGTTTTCATATTTACATCAGCCAATTTCATTAGCTGATTTTAGATTTAGAGTTTAATATGCTTTTACAAAGTGATAATCCATAAAGCTGTAGGATTTGATATACATAAGGAAGGTGAATTTGTAAAAATTAAAATTGAATTATTACTTTTATAGCTGTCAAAACTCATCAAAATACAAATAGGATGGCAATATGTCAGTTTCCATGCAAAATTTGAAACTAAATAATAAGAAAACATGAAATCATATTGGCATGCATTGCACTCTTATCAAAAATGTTACTAGTAATTTATAGGAGGCCATCAAAAAAGAGAACAAAGAAAAAATAATACCTAATTTAAGACGCCTCTCATGTTGACAGGGTGGGCAAAGGAATCTGAAGCCAAATAAAATGCAAAAAGCTCAGCAATAAGTACATGTACAACCTACCCTTACCACTGACACTGGTCCATTGTTTAAATATACTGGGAAAGTGTTTGTGTTATGTATACAGTTTAAAATAAGCACATTTTTGTACAAAGTCATAATTCAACAAAAGCATGTGTACAACAAGTATCCATATTTTCAATGTCTCTATTCGTATTATAAATCTTCAGTATGTCTACCCAGTCAGCCTATGAGGTTTTTTTTCTTCTCCGCTGTGTCTAGGATAAGGGCATAATATAAGCCATGGACACTCTCTGGCAATAAGCAGGTCTATCTGGCTTGCTGTGCCCCTGGGTTCAATGTCTCCACACAAAATAAGTCTGTTATTAGTAGGCCAGGAAGGGGGACATAACATTATATGAGTAGAGGTAACTCAGGGTGAGCTGCTGTTGACTTCAGACTATCTTCTCATACATCTTGTCTCATTTGGCATGGACCTCCTCCACCCCTCCCAGACACTAAACTGTGCTGAACCTAGTTTCATAAATGTAATTCAAATATGTGGAGGGGTAAATATTTTCTATCCCACACAGCCTGGCTGCTCCAGCTTCAGTGTCATGTTCTAAATGGTCACTGAGAGCACTAGTGGGCTGGATTTGGTGCAATTTAAGTTCACAAGTGATCTTACACGATCTTAATCATTACAGCAGAAGTCTTAAAATGGACTGAATCTGCTTTTAAGATCAAAAATGATCTAACATCTACTTATGTGGTCAAGCAGTTTCCTCCCCTCACAATGGGGGATGCCTCCCCTCACCTCTACTCACAATAGGAGAATGTGTAAGGGGAGACAACTTAATTGGCTGTCAGACCAGAAGTGGTCTTACTCATGGTTTAAGATCATGTAAGACTATTTGTAAACTTAAATTGCACTTTAAGACCAAATCAAGCCCACTAGTGGAGGTACTGCTCTGTACACTGGATTAGCATATATTAGACCTGTGGACATGTTATCAGCACCCTCTCTCTCTCTCTCTCTCTCTCTCTCTCTCTCTCTCTCTCTGAACTTCCTTCCTCTCTACATCGACACGCATACCTGTCAGACTTGCTGTGAAGATGCTGTCTTCCTGGTTCATACTCATATTCCACCTGTTCCACGGGGTAAGCACCCACATCAACACGGGGGGCAAGTGTGCCCTGTTCCAGCCGTGGAGTCAAGTCTGTGTCACCTACAGAGAATACAATATGGCTGTGTTGATATTTTCAAATACAAATTATTCAACAGTACACAGGTATTTATTGTTACAGAGTATCTGGTGTTGCTGCTTTGCAGTGTAACACTTTTGATAGACCTAACCTAGTATGGTTGATATGTATACAAGAGTGACCAACATTATAGTTCTAAATGTGCTTCATCTACATGTTTACCAATGTCATAAACAACATATATATAATACCGACAACAGCAGGTATCATCAGTGAAAATAAGTACAATAAGCGTAAACACATGGAGATGACAACTCTGTTTTCAATATAGCAGGAATAGCCATTATCTTTTCAATCCTACATATTATTACAATATTATATATTATATACACAATAGGCTTAGTCAGTAAAACAGAAGTCAGCATGGTCTTGTAAGTTTTCTCAACACTCTGTTTCACTATAACTTAGTCATAATTAACCAACTGC